ACGCCCGGCTATTTTTTGGTTGCAGCCGTCATTGTTGTTTGGCGGGTCCGGGCTGGGGATTCGAACCCGCCACCTTAGGTGTACGTGGCTGGCGCCTCCTCCCTAACTTCTTAACCATCAAATGAAAGACATGTCAGTACAGATTCTCCTTTTTCTAGTTTGATACTTACAGCTCTGGGCCTTTGCTGGCAAGGGCAGCTAGAATTCTAGTAAGAAAAACTTCAAGGGCTGAACTAGCTAAGGGGCTCAAGAGGGGAATGTTTTATTGGGTAGTTTGCTAAGGTTCATTTGTAAACCTTCTGAAAGGCTAAGTGTGAGTTTGTCAAACTCCCTACACCAGCAGTCCCCCACTTCAGCCTTACCCTCCACGTAAGCCAACTACAACTTACTCTTTACAACAGGAGCCATCCTATATGTCTGTTTGGTTCCCAGCCCCCCTTTCTGATTCATTCACCCATCCATCTATCCAAAATATTTGAATGTTTCATAAGAATATTACTGTATCTCCTCCATCACTTTCTATTGAGGAGCTAGAATTTGGCAGCCTGTCCCAGGCTCCATCTCCTCCCTTCTCTTGTTAATTACTCTTCTACTAATTAATTTTTTCCCAGTGTATTTGACCCAGTGGGCTACCCTAGAATCTCTTTTCCCCAAGCTTTACAAAGGAGAGGAGAGGGAAGATATAAAACAGGAAAAAAAAAAAAACAACAACTGTGATAGAGTAGAACTTGGTCTCAGGGTCAAGACCCTCTAAAAGCAGAGTTAAGCGTGCCCTCGTGTGTGCATGTGTGTTGTCCACTTCAGTGTAGTGGGGGTGAGGGCAGGTCAGTACTGGGAAAGACACTCCCATCCTTTTAGCACACTTGTCTCCTTTGCTAACTCACCTTCCTCACACATTACAATCATACACTTCTGTTTCTTATACAATCTAGTTCCACCCGTTACACAGTCAACCTCTTTTACACAGTCCTCCACCACGCACACTTTTTAGTCTTTCATGTAAATGGGTATATTGCCTGAGTCCATCCCTTACCCACTCACCTCGGACCCTTGCACAGCTGTCTTTGTGCACTTCCATTTTGCACAAACCTCTACCTCCCTGATACACCTGCATCCTTTGACCATTCACCTTCCGTCAGCACCGGCTCCCCGCCCCCCCATACACACACCAATTCTCATACCCCTGTGCACACTCCCATCCCTTGGCCACTCCCCTTCCTCCACCCTCCCGGGGCTCGCACACTTGCCCCCGCCCCTGGGGACACCTGCTCGTGCAGGGCAGGGCGGGGATGCG